TCTTACTACTAATATGGTTGTTGTTGTTATTGTTATTAGTTTTGTTTTCGTTATTATCATATTATACGGAGTAATTACAATTAAAATTATAGAAATAAATATTATAATTATAATTAAAATTATAATTATAGAAATAAATATAACTCTAAATATAATTACAATTATAATTATAACTATAACTATATTTATAACTAGTGTAATACGTATAATAATAATTATACCTATAATAATTATGTTTGTATTATAATTATAATTTTTTATAATTATGATTATAATTATAATTATATTTAAATTATATATGTGCAATTACATTTATAATTATAGTAATTATAATTGTAATTATAGTTTTAGAAATATTCAAATCAGATCAGATCAGAAACATTCAGATCAGATCAGGAACATTCAGATCAGATCAGGAACATTCAGATCAGATCAGGAACATTCAGATCAGATCAGGAACATTCAGATCAGATCAGATCAGAAAAATTCAGATCAGATCAGATCAGAACTTAAAAAATTCAGATCAGAAACATTCAGATCAGGTGAAGAGAACAACTTCTAAGTTAGAAGTGATCGTTGGAAAATTTGATTTTTTGTTAAGAAATTGAATCTTTAAAATTCTGTGAGAAACGTTTTTAAGTAATGCTTTTTTTAATTTGATACTTGTGTTGTTACTTTTCACCAAATATGTAATTTAAATAATAATAAAATGAGTTTCTTTTTATTTAATGAATTTATTACATAATTTTATTATAATTATTATTTTAAATAAATATAGTTTATTATTTTTCTTGAATATAAGTCCAAAAATAGACAGGACCGGCCCTGAAAATATACTTTAAAGTTTAAACGAGTTCTTTTAAATATGAGTGTCAATTTTGATCCTATTAGTTTTATTTCAATTTTGCATTTAGTCCACGTCTTTCACTTTATCCTCTTTTGATACTTAACTATTGTTTTCTCGACCATTTTTGATGCATCTCTAGTGATTTTAATCATTAGAAAAGGTCTATACATGGGCGAAAAACAATAGTCATGTATCAAAAGTGGTTAAAGTCGAATCAATTGTGAAATTGGTGCGACAGTTGTAGAACCAAATTTATTTAATCGATAAGATGAGAAGTTCATAAGCTGGTACGTTAAGATGAGATTAGAGTGCTGAATGAATGAATGAATGAATGTACGGAAATTGTCCTAAATAGGACTAAAAAGTTCCTAAAAAGCACAAATAGGACTACTATTTTTAAAATTCCCTAAATAGGACTAAACATTGATTTTCTACCCTAAATACCCCTAAGAGTATTAATTCATAATGAAATGCTTTAATTCATAATAAAATCACAAAAAACGTAAAAAAATATTTAAAAAACGTAAAAAAATTAAAAAAAAATTTTAAAACATTTATAAAATAAAAAATTTAATTTTTTATTTTTTTTATTTTTTTTGAAAAATAATAAAAAATAGTAAAAACCCATAAAAAATGAAAAAAATTATGGATACCTTTCTCACCGCCTCCCGCCGCCTCCCAGCACCACCACCTCCGATTGGTGAAATTTCTTCCACTTTTGATAAAAAAATGCCATATTTTTCTGAAAATGCCAAAAAGATGGCATAATTACTCTTCAATATGCCAACATTTTCATTGATTATGCCATCATTATGGCATTATATAAAATGTTGGCATATTTTTTTACGGTGATGGGAGATGGTGGTGTTGGGGGTGGCAGGGGTGGTAATGTGTTTTTTTTTAATTTTATGATTTTTTTTATTTTTTTTATTTTTTTTAAAAAAAATATTTTTTTTTTATTTTTTTAAAAAATATTTTTATTAATTTTCTATTATTTTTTTTTTACTATTTTAGTATTTTTTTCGATTTTTATTAATTTTTTTATGATTTTATTATTAATTAAAACAGTTCACAAGTTACAAGGGTATATTTGTCCAAACACACATAAATAGTCCTATTAAGGGAATTTAAAAAATGTAGTCCTATTTGTGCAATTTGTCCACTTTTTAGTCCTATTTAGGGAATTGACTCATGAATGTATATGGACAGGGTGTTGCTTGGAAGTGTGAGCAACTACGTGGTGCAAAATGCTTCATGTCCAGTTACGGTCGTGAAAGGACCACCATCCAAGCGCTAAGCTTTGCTTGCTCCCAGTGGCAGTGTATATGGCGTGTAATTGCATTGAAGACAAGACGATCGAATAAGAAACCTTTTATGTATCTATTTTCAGTTTCAATATGATGTTCCTACTTGATTGTATCTTTGACATTGAACTTTCTGACTAGTTTATGCGTAGTATATGTTGAGTGAGATGATATCTTAGTTTGTCTCATGTGTTTTGCTATTACTTCGGGAGTGTTTGCAACTGCTTCTGCTTAAAAAAAAAGCACTTTTGGAGAAGTAATGAAAAAGTGATTGGTAGTAAAAGTTGATAGTGTTTGAGAAAAAAGAGATTTTGAAAAGTAAAAGTTGGTAGTGTTTGGTAACGAAAAATAAGTCTTATATTAAATCAATATAAATGTGAGATTGAGAAATGATCGCTTTTTCGAACTTGAACAAATAAAATTAGTAAAAAATCGGAAACGAACAAATGAAAATAGGATAAGAAAAAAATGAATTTTTAATCTTTGGTTGGATAACCTGAATAGTTGGATCATTCGGGCAAATAAAGTAGCGAACTATTTTCAAAAATAACTACTCTATATATTTATACACTATGTAGATTTTACAAAAAATGGACCTTATATTTTTGGAGGTCCTGTACAAAGGCACATTTTGCACGCCTTCATCTACCGCCCAACTTATTTTGCACGCCTTCATCTACGACGTTTGGAGATCATAAAATATGACGTGTCTTATGATATTATTATGCATAAAAAATGTACGAAGTATGTATAACTCAAGAGGTGTAATGGGAGAATGGATTTGACACTATTCCATTTATATATGTAGGAAAATAGAAAAGGTATTAATGTCATTTATATCTTTTTAAATGTGAGTTTGTAGACGATCTTACTTTGAAGTTTGAACAAAAGAAAAATCTGAGTTTGTAGTGTCTTGTCGAAATAAAGTTAATACAGTTTATTTATATTTGGGCCGTTGTCAAATACTTCATCCAAGCACTCCTTATAATAATCTGTCTTCGGTCTTCCCATCAACCTCTCTAGAAAATGCTAAATGTTCTTATTAAATAAAATATACACAACCACCATCCTAAAACACAAGATAACAACTATTTACACACAATAGAACAGGTAAATACAATTTATACTCCCTCCATCCCGGAAACAAATTTCCGAATTGACTTTCACACATTTTAAATAAATAAAGTTATCGAGGATAAATTTTATTATTTTGACACCGTTTCGACACTACTGTTTGGGACTGTTTTGACACTGTTTTGCACTGTTTGACATTGTTTTACACTTTTTGATGTAGATATTTTGCCAAATAAGAAAAGGATAACTTATTTTTGGGATTGCTAGAAAAAGAAAGTGGGAACTTCTTAGCGGAACAGAGGGAGTACATAACAAACGCGGGTGTATTGGTCAGTAAAATGATTCATCAAACTAAAATATAATCCATGGGGTAATGAGATTGGTCTCTAAGCCCAAACCCAATATTTTGACCTGCGGTCTAGACCCACGATCTAGACAACCATGCTTAAGCCTTAGATCAACCTTTCATTATGCCAGCTCGTCCAGTGGGCCTAACAACTTAGGAGCTTGGACCGACCCAACTAAAACGCTCATTAAGGAAAGCAAGTTCAACAAGGAGGGAGTTCGAGGCGACAGACTTATCAGCCTGACTGACGAACCAGCTCAACTTGGAGCCGTTCATCAAACTATAATAGAGTCGATCTGCCAGTCCAACAGAGGGATGTCCATCAGTCTGGTAGGGAATCAACCTACCAGCCTAGCAGGGAGATGTGCTTCATCCTGTCACGGAGCGACATATCAGCCCAGTTGAGAATCGTCCATCAACTTGATATGGAGCTGACTTACCAGCCCGATAGAGACCCGTCCATTAGCCTATCGGAGAGCATACCTATCAGCCCAACAAAGAAGTGTCATCAGCCTAGCGGGGAGCCGACCTACCAGATCAGCAAGGAGGGAGCTCAAGCGGTCGACCTAGTACGTCTAACTGACCTACCAATTTGGAAGAGCAAGTTCAAGACAATTAAAGTTACAATTCATACAATAGTTAATATCATGTTAATATTGTAGTTAATTAGCCATTACGAATATGTCTGGTTAAACTTTTGTAAACGCCTATAAAAAGCAGTTAAAGTTTAATAACAATGACATGCTATTCATGACAACCAAACTCTCTAATGCTTTTGGCTTTCGTATACTTCATTTTCTATTTGAGTGTTTTGTTATAATTTTCATGAAAAATTTATGATCATCCATATTTAAACTAATAGTAGTTTCAAATGACAAATGAAACTTTTTAAGTATTTTTGTTTTATTCAAATAGAACTTTGTTTTAAGATTACGAAAGTTGATTTTAATTTTTCCCTACGTAAAAACTTAAATACATCAAACTTTGAGTCACAAAACCAAACCCGCATATAAAGAATCACTAAGCTAGTAAACAAGTGAGTTTAAAGTAAATAATAAGTATACAAAGACATAAAGTAGGTACATAGATTTCCTCAATCGGAAAGGTGGAATCGCTCACCCTAGGTGCCATCACACCCAACCAGACAAAACAGTGGAAGAGTAAGTCATGATACGATCTCAAACAATTTATGAGTGAGGTGGTTCAAGACCTGATACGCACAAGTAGCCACCACATTAGATGAAACTTTCACACTGTTGCTGCCGGGATTGAACCTCAGATCTCAATTCAACAATCTCGACATATTTTCTTACCACATACAAAAAGTTAAATCTCATAAAACAAACTATTATTGTGATTTTTGATTTGAGATTGTAAATAAAATCAAAGTATCTTCCATTTTTGGCATCCAAAGAAGACATGACCATTTTTCTCTAGCAACACTACAGTTCTCTCAGCGACTCAGCCCACAATAACACGTGCGCAACATGAAAACAAATGGTGATGGCGAAGATCCACTTAGAGATGAAGACATCTAAGTTCAAGCTTGTAGGAGACCGGATTTCACAGAAGGGCGAAGGCTATTGGTTACAGTGTGCATCCATGAATTATACGCAAATAAGAGCATCTTTTGTTTAGTAAGAGGCACTTCAATCGGTTGATTACTTGATTACCGTTCAAATAAGAAATTCGCCTCTTTTTTATAAAATTAGGGGTGGATTGAGGCGCGTAAGATAATTCCATCGTTGTAGACCTCAACTGCTGCGGTAGTTCAAGATGAAGTGATGTAAATTAGTAGTTCAAGACTGCGCCTTTGTTAAGCGTAGTTATTGGACCGCAACTATGAGACCTTGGCGGGGAATGTTCAAATTTTCCCGGAAATGCCTGATTGCTACCGCTGTATTGGGCGGCGCGACAGCCGTCACATTCCAAGCCCGGAACCCTATTCCTATCCTTTCTCCCACGGACTATCCTTTCATCAACGGTGCAGTTCGGTCCTCCCGCGCTCTTTTCACAGTAGGATTCTGCCCCTATTTTTCGTGACGTAACGGTCTTCATTTCTCTAGTCAAATTGTCAGTGCTTCTTAACTCAATGCTGCAACTTTTTTTTTCCAGATAACTTCGAATGTGGTGGACTACGTGTATTCTTTGCACGGCTCGACTCAGAACACTGAGGAGTATTTGCGCGCGCTTTCTGAGGTCAGAATTGCATTTTCTCTTGGCATAAATTAGAAGTTCAAAGTGAAGCAGTTCACTAAAGCTTTCGTTTCTGCATTATGCATACCTACCCTGGCCGCACATTCCTCTTTTTGTGAACAATGTCTCATGCCTTTAAGGTACATCTGAGGTCTGCAAAGAGACTACTGAAACTATTTGAAGCCAACAAAGGTGTTTATGTCAAAGCTGGTCAGTTTGTTGCATCAGTGCGTGTCAGGACAATTCCTAAAGAGTACTCATCAACACTGTCATCTTTGCAAGACCAGGTTTGCACTTTGCCGACACATGCACACACCCAACTTGATTTCTGTCTGTTCGACAAACCGTATGACTCATATTCTTGATCCTTCGCATATGCTTTATTTTATTTTCCCTTTTGCTAAAGTGTAATTAATAACGCTTCAGGCTGTTCCTTATCCTTTTGATTCAATCAAGGAAGTACTGATCAACAGTTTGGGTCCAAATTTATCAGAGATGTAAGTTATGACAAGTGGGGTGTGTGGGGATATTATATAAACCTATCGTGTACTGTAATTGTCAATCTCCATTTCTACTAAACCATAATAATGTGTTTTCTGTGTTACATCCTTTATTCATCAATACAGTTGATAAAACCTAATGGCTAATATAACCTAATATGCAGCTATGATAATTTTCCATTTTCTTCATTCTTTGAGGGCCAATACTGCCATATTTTCTCTTCACTTTTGTTTTATTTATTAAGCTTCAGGAATTGCAAATCTGCTTACCCGCTGAGAACCTAATGGGATCCCATTCATGCAGGCCCAGTTTTTGAACTATACTTGTTTCTTAAATTGAAAAAACTAATGCATATTACTGAAAGGAAGAATATCTTATAAGTATGGTTTGTAAAAAAATGCATTCAAATGAGTTTAGTTTATTGCCTGTAGTATGTGCTTCATTTAAAGCTATTAAGTATGTTCAGTTAAGTAGTTCTTTCCAAAGGGAAAGATTCCAGGAAAGCAAAATGTGGCATAAAAAATAGTAGAACTGCTCAAACATTATTTTCCTATAGTTGTAACAAGGTCATAGTGGCTTATTTTTTTATTCACTGAAATCAGATTCTTTTCATTTGATGAGCAACCGTTTGCAGCAGCTTCTGTTGCTCAAGTACACCATGCTGTGTTGAGAGATAATAAAGAAGTAGCAGTTAAGGTATATAAAGTTGGGTATACTTTATGCTTGAAGTTCCATAAATTTTTTTTACTACTTGAATATGTTTATGTAGAGCTGTGTGTTTTTAATGATTCATGCCATATTGATTCAAGGTGCAATATCCAGGACTAGAGTACCAGATGAAATTTGACCTTGCAACAATGTCTTTTCTCTCCAAATCTGTTTCATGGGTATGAATACACGCACTTTAGTGTTGATTTATTTTGATGGAATTTTTTGTCTCATTTCAACCGCTTGGTCACTATTAGCTATTACATCTCCATTTTGAGAGATAAATGTGAGGGAAGGTAGCAAAACTTAAATACGATATGACTGACTTAATTGAGTGCGTATTCATTTCAGACGATGCCAATTTAATTTTCTAATTATTTTGCTTCTCTTCCTTTCTTTCCAAATCTTCTAAAAAAGTAAAAAACTCTTAATGCCCAGGGTTCGTGGATTCATGGTAACAATGAGTTATCATGTTTTTCATCCTCCCTTTTGATAGTGATTCTGTTCACTTTCATCTCAATGACTTTTGTCTTAAATGATTCAGTCAGCATTATTAATAGCGGATGACCAAAATTATGCCACATGTTGCTGCCATAAACTGTTATTCTTCACAACTTTCATATGCCACTGGACTAGTAGTCTAACACGTTGACTATTTCCGAATTGGCTACAATTTCTAATGATTTATTTATTTATGTTCTTGAGAAGCTATACTATATATCCTGTATTAGAAATTGCAGAGTCCACTACATTTACTGCATCTGCTCAATAACTTGCCATTTTTTCTTATTTCAGTTTTTCCCAGAATGCAGGTTTGAGTGGCTGGTATTGGAATTTAAGCAATCCATTACTTCCGAGCTTGGTATGTGAAAATATATCTTCATGATTATTTTCTTAAGATTTGCATAAGTTGGTAGCTCTTCAATCAGGCTTATGTGTTTGTTTTCTTTTGTGTTCAAGTCTGTTGTGATGACCATCTCTGACTTTCCCTTCATTGTAAAACTAAAATTTTCTTTATTTTATGATGTTTACATGTTTTTTTTTTACTTTTCAAGTTAGTGAAAGGTGGAATCTACTGAGTTTTCTTAAAGTAACACATAGTTCTGAAAGGCTCATGAATTGGAGGCCTGGAGGGTGTTGTGCCTCTACAAAGGTGAGGTGTTCAATGTTACTGCTGTGTGCACCTAGGGGTGACTCAGCGACATATATTGGCTAGGACTCATGTCTGATTCTATATACAAGTATATAACAAATAACAGTCGAAGTCTGAATCTGTTTGAGATATTTTACCTACTTCTGCAATAACTATTTCTAGCAGTCGCCATACGGCCATAGCTATGAATCCACATATTTTGTTTCTTGGGATTCAATACAGAAAGCTCTCAATGTATTTAATGGAAGAATCTAGTTATTTGGTATTTTTACTTAGTTGCACTAAACTTCTAAAGATGGCGGTCGTAAAGACTTGACCAGAAAAGACCTGATGGCATCAGCCGCTGAGCCACAGAAACATCTGTAGCCTACTTAACTTCAAAAGTGGTCATCTTCCTGGTAGTTGCCGGACTGAGGTTAGTCATTACCTGAGACCACCATCATAGATAAATGAGACAAAGGTATGCAGGGAGATTCCAGTACCTATACCGTGGTACCGGTGCATGGTGAGCACCATGCTCCACTCCCAAAACGACGTAGCTTTTCACAATTGAAAAAAAATCACGTGAACAGTACACACATGTACAATAACTGTTTTTATTTTGTCCTAGTAGCATGAATGATGTAACTCGCGTGTAATGATATGTAACTCACGTTATTGATCAATGTAACTCAAGTCCGTTCAAAATGTAACTTGTCAAATACATAGTATAAGAAATAAAATATTGATTTCAATGTAAACAATAAAAAAAATAGTCAAAATGCACAATTATTTTACTTAAATCGTGAGTATGTTTTGTTTTTAATATCATGATCATCAGAAGGATTTTAAAAAAATCATTTTTTTGTTTCAATAGTAGGGGTTGATTTTTTTTATGTAACTCATGTTATTACAAATGTAATTCGTGTTTCCAGCAATGTAACTCACATTGATAAGAACTGTAATGTATGTCAAGTTAAAATGTAAGTTATCTAAAATAGAATATAAGAATTAAAACATTGATTTCAATGTAAATGATGAAGAATAGGAGTTTTATGCCTTTGAATGTAGTGTATGATTATGAAATACAATATACTTATTTTATGTGGGTTAATAACAATTTTGTAGCAAAGAAAAAAGTTAATTCAATTGTAATTTAATTACTTAAAGATAATGATAAGTAAAAAATATTCCCTCCATATCACTTTTATTGTCACACTTTCCCTTTTGGGGTGTACCAAAAAAATCCTGCTTTTTCAAAAAGTGTACCGTAAACCTATAAATTTTCTTAAACTACTACAAAAGCCTACTGTGACAATAAAAGTGATACGGAGGGAGTAACAAATAACTAGATGTAACTCACACATAATTAGATGTAACTCAAGCATAAGTAGATGTAACTCACATATAATAAGATGTAACTCACACATAATAAGATGTAACTTCAAATGTAACTCCAAGAATCAAAATAAACAAATTCTATGTCTTAAAATCCTTAAAAACATACTCCATCCGTATTTAAAAGTTCCTTACATTTTCCTTTTTGGAATGTATTTAAAAGTTCCCTACACTCTTTCCCTTTTTGGTAAGTTTTTCCTTTAAAAATACTCAATTACCCCTACTTTTTCAACTTCTCTCCTACTTTTTCTATATTATTCATTACCCTTACTATTCTACCTTAAATATTGTGCCATAACCAAACGTAGTCATCTGTTAAATACGGAGGGAGTATAAAAAAGATAAAAAAATTGTAGGAAAAGTGTTTGCATATATAAATATATTACAAAAAGTGTATATGATTATAAAAAAAATATTACAAAAAAGTGTATGAATATTGTAAATATTATAGAAATAAAAGTAGTGTATGAATATAAATGCAATTTACTTATTTTATTTAGATTTATAAACTTTTTGTTATGTAGTGATAGAGAATAAAAAAATAGATTCAATTATTATGTGGATTAATAAAATATACTCCCTCCGTCCCAGGGAGAAGTTCCCGGGTTGACTTTCACACATATTAAGGAAATAAAGTTACTGGGGGGTAAATTTTACTGTTTGGCACTGTTTCGACACTGTTTGGCACTGTTTCGACACTGTTTAGCACTGTTTAGCACTGTTTGGCACTGTTTTGATGTAGAATAACTTTCCATTTAGGGAAATGGGAACTTCTTGTTGGGACTGCCAAAAAAGGAAATTGGGAACTTCTCCCTGGGACGGAGGTAGTACTTTTTATGTGGATTAATAAAATTTTGTAGTAATTTGATAAAGAAAAAGTTTAAATTCATTTATATTTTAATTAGTTAAAGATAAAGATAAGTAAAATAAAAAATAAATTTTTAGTATTTTGATGTTTTTTTGGACAATTCTTTCTAACCTATATAGTATCTGCTCAATGTTAATGCCAACATCCTTGAGGATTCAAACCTGTGACCTCCTCCTTGGGAGTGCCATAGTGATGACATCAGACCACAAGGTACTTGGCTTTAGTATTTTGATGTTAAAGAGAAAAGAATTGAAGAAAATTGAAACGGAAAATTAAGAGAAAGAAAGTACTTACCTGGAGGAAAAAAGGAAGAAGCCTTCCGTAATATTGGACATTTGGATTGTTGAAAACCAACTTTAGATCCTGGTTATATTTAAACTACTCTGAAAGTTATGGAAGAGTTCAGATATTCAAGTCAAGTGAAAGGAAGTAGACTAGGGGTAGCCATTGGTTCAGCATACAGTGTAAGGATAGCGGATAGCCAGACAGTGAAGTGGGGATACAGGAAATAAAAATGAAATTTGGGGAAACTTGCCACATGCCCACATCAACCTAAGACCTAAGTTTGACGATTGGCTGCCAACATCCACATGCTTTTTCAAAAGTTTGGTGGTTACTGAAGTGCAAAATTTAGAGAAATTTTGGTGGCTAATCGGCTTGTTTTTTTAGTTTGGGGGTGGGGTGCTAATTGCTGTATTTGGGGTAGTATGAGGCAATTTTCCCCCTTTTAATGTTACTGACTTCCTATTTTCTTTTTCTTTTGTAATCTTTTTGGCAGTCTTGAATCCTGATTCAATTATTTACTACTCCGTATTATCCTTAATTGTTTAGGTTTTATATTGGTTATGAGTGTTCCCAAGGAGGAGGTCACAGGTTCGAATCCCATCCCAGTTCAAGGATGTTGGCATTAACAATGAGCAGATACTATATAGGTTAGAAAGAATTGTCCAAAAAAAATATTGGTTATGAGTGTTCTTTTGTGTATGTTCGGCTTACTATAATGTTATGTATTAATGTTTTTATTGTTTGCGTCTCTTGTTTAAGAGGCACACACCTCAGGTGTAAGAATATAGCTAATGGAATTGAGTAGAGTTTTGGGTATACAGTTTATCAGAGCAAAATACATTTATTTGAATTGAATGCCAAAAAAGCTCTCGTTGAATTACTCACTTACTAAAACCTTTCCCCTCTATAGCTCACTCAAAGTCTTAGAAGATGCAATGCCTGTAGTTTTTAGATCTTATTATCCTGCCACAATTGGGGCAGGGTGGCTGGTGGCAGGAGTGGGGAAATGCATGCCTGTATTTATCACATACTCCGTATTTTTATGACGTTTCTTTGGAAGGTTGTTTCTGATGTTTTCTTTTTTCAAAAGCTAGTGTCAAACTATGTACTGTATACCCCTTTTCTGTAATTTGGCAGATTTCATTGAAGAGGCAAAGAACCTCGAGATAATGTTTAAAAACTTCAAAAACAACCGCATGATTAGGATTCCTCAAGTTTTTTGGGTATGACAACAAACCCTGTGTGTTGGCAACTTACCTTTTTCTTAGCCTACCATTTCCGAACATTTACAATCCATGTTCTCATCTTATTATAGCTACAAACTCTGTAACCATATGCAGGATTTCACAACAAGCAATGTTTTGACGATGCAATTTTGTAAGGGACACAAGGTACACTATTCTGCCTGCTTTTTGTTTCATGGTGTGTGCATGTACGATTTTGACTCAAAGTTCTTGATAAAAATATTACAGGGTGAATTGATTTACTCTTTCCTTTTGACATAGGGGTTAAAATTGAGAAATTCTATTAGCATTATCCATATCTTGTAATACTTTTGGATGTAGTATTGTTCCTTCTTTTCTTTTGACTTTACTGAGATGTTTAAGCTTCTGAAGAGGGAAAGGTTGAAAACATCCATGATATTTATGATAAGGGTGTTGGTGCAGTACCTGGTCTACAGCTGCTACTAGGAGGTTGGCATTACAAATGAGGAAGAAGGAAGACATGGTGGTTTTTTGGCAATTTTGAACTCTACTGTCCTTTACAGAGCAGGCACCAGAAGACTTGACCTTATCTAAGTCTTATCACTTTTGAAGCCTGAAATTGTTTCTCTATTAATTGATTCAAGACCCTATTTATATCACTCTCAAATGTCAATAGTCTTGGAGAGGAGTCCTAATAAAATAAAATCACGCTAAAGGAAACTAAGAAAATACAAATACTAATAGGACTGATATCAAAAGGATAGAGTAATCATGTATCCCAACTAACAAAACATGCCTGGTTTCCCTAGGAGTCATGCTGATATCTTAGCCACGAGTCTTGCATCGGCTGTATGCATTTTCTTCAAATGTGCCACATCATTACTCCTCCATCCATTAAGTTTGTCCTCATGGTTCACGGTGAATTCCATTGAATGCATTACTGATGGCATACATTGTTTGTCAAATGGCTTCCTCCCACTGAATGGAGGACCTCACGTCAACAGTGGTTGAGATGGCTGCCCTTGACCGTTACTGGTTTGGGCATGATGGTGTGGTCTACAGTATGTGTGTCAGGTCGGTAATGCTCGTGTGCAGCTTCAATAATGAGGCATGAAAAACATTGTGAAGCTTTCCCTCGGGTGGTAAGGACAAAGGATATGCGACATTGCCAATGCCCTCGGTAACCTGTAACATGTCTTTATACTAAGGCTGGAGCTTCTGGTCGGGACGAACTAGAAAATATTCAAATGCATCCATAAAGAACATTAATTGAAGTGTATAAATTTATACAATTGGCAGGAGTGCATTTGAATCATTCCCAAACACTAAGGGTGTATTTGTGCCTAAAAAACCATGGGTTCTTATTTGAATATTTGTACATATGAGTAAACCTTAGGGGAGTCGGTAAGTTCCATGAAAGCATGTTTGTTTTGCAATATTAATCATGTAATGGGAATGATGTCGGTTTTGTAAATTTCATCTCAGTTTTCTTTCTTAAGAATGCTGCAACCCTTAGAGCATCCGGTGTAAAACATTGCCGCTATGCTTCTTTGCATGAATGTTATAGTATTTGGCATTTTTAAACAATTAATTTGCATTATAATTTTAAGTTCACCACTCACCAACCTCAACTAGTTGCTATTGAGGTGCTGATAGTGATGACAATGAATAACTTCAAGGGTCAGTTTGGGAGTTGGTTTTTGGAGGACTTTGGAAGGGAGGGCCACTGTTATTCTAGATATATATTTGAGATTTTATAAAACAAAAACCAAAGGTATAACATTACTAGTTATAAAACAATATTTAATCAGCCTTTATTCGTTTTAGAAACATTCTGTTGAATAAGATATAGACCAAGCCCTCCAAGAATTTTTCACCCATACCCCCTCTCCCGAAGGGGCTGTATTTTACACTTTTTCCCTTATGAAACTCTATTGCCTGGTTTTACTGTCAATGTTATTTTTTGTTCAACTATTCTCAGGAATGTTCCATTAATAAGACATATGTACCTCCCAGGTCGATGATTTGGACTTTTTGCGGCAGATGGGGATAAATCCATCTAAGGTTTGTCCTACTACTCCCACTATCCCCGTTGCATGAGATACCAGGAACTTTGTCTTCTCTGTTTGCTCCAGCCATTCCCATTTCCAGCTTAGTCTATTTGGTGTTGTAGGTCGCAAAAGCCTTAGCGGAGGCCGTTTCAGAAATGATATTTCTCCATGGTTTTCTACACGGTGATCTACATCCTGGTAATATACTAGTTTTCCCAGAAGGATGGAATGGTTTTTCTCTAGGTATGTATGTTATGGATCTTTTTTAATGTTTACCTCTTTGCTTCGTGGTTGATGAAAATTTAGATCTCCCCTGAAGTATTTCTTTAGTAATAAATCTATAATAAAATAAATGCAGTTCTTTTGGATTTTGGGATTTGCAAGAAATTGGATGAAGCTTTCAGAATGAACTTCTGCCAACTATGGGAGGCTTTAATATTCAAGGATTCTAACAAGATCCACCAGCTGGGTGATTATTTTGGTGTTGGGAGGTATTCCAGATACTTCCCTGTCATATTTACCGGAAGAACAATTGAGAGGTGATGCTATAGTTTTTTTTTTTGTTTCATTACATTCGGAATGATGGATCTTCTAATTTTAGAAACAGTAGTATGCTTCTATGTCAGTCACATGAAACTATGTGTTATAAATTGTTGAGTAAGAGTGAACCTAGTGTTGAAATAGGTACCTGGCAAGTATAATATACTCGACAGTTGAGAAGTGAGAATTAATTTTTGCTATTTCTTCGGACAGTAAATCACCACTTTCGAGGGGAATGTCAGATGAAGAAAAGAAGAACCTAAATAAGGAATTGAAGTCTCTCAGAATAGAAGACATATCTTCATTTATGGAATCACTACCTAATGAATTTCTTACGGTATTACGCACCGAGTAAGAACATGATTACATTATATTACTCCGTAACTAAGTAACCAACAATTTGGTATTTCTTGAGATTCTCATTTCCTTATTTCTATCTTTATATATTCAGTGGCCTACTAAGATCTTTGATGAATAAGTTGGGTGCTTCCCAGCAAATGCGGCTGCTGGCATATGCTAAATTTGCACTTCAAGGTATCTCTCTGAAGTGCGATTCTGGATCTGGTAAGCTTCAATGAAACATTATATGCTAGACCTTGTTTTCTTAACTATTTTCTAGAAGTAATAAACCAAATTAATATTGAAGGATTATGCAAACTAAATTACCTCAGATCGTGTGCTGCATCTTATTTATTTATTTAATTAATTAGTTGGCGCTTACTTGTGCTCAAATCTCTCCAAGGATAATGTTTTTAATTGGATTCTATTCTTTGCCCTGTGTCTAACACGGCAACACCCATAAAAGAAAGGAGTTGCCTCCTTCAATACCTTTATACGATAGTATATACAAATTGTCACTAGGATGAATGCAAGTGAAAACTGTTAGGAACCCACTTATTAGTCTAATAATAGAAAGAATATTAATAATAGATACTGATTAGTGGGCCTGTTATAATGGGCCTATTAGTATAGAGAATAATAAGAGAGCTTATACTATAAATAGTAAGGGGAAGTGGAACCCACTTATTAGTCTAATAATAGAAAGAATATTAATAATAGATACTGATTAGTGGGCCTGTTATAATGGGCCTATTAGTATAGAGAATAATAAGAGAGCTTATACTATAAATAGTAAGGGGAAGGAAGGGAGAAGGGAGGCTTTTGGATTGTTTAATTCGGGACTTGGGAGATCGAGAGTTACTCTCTTTCTTGGGGGGCTTCGGCTCATATTGGGGGCTTAGGCCTGTGTACCGATTACTGTTCTTCTTCATCATCAATACAGTTTTGCAGTTTGTTCCTTGATAATTCTGTATATTTCCTGGAGGTTTCTATCAATTGGTATCAGAGACTTACTTCCTGGAGACCGAGAATCTGAACGATGGAAGAATTCTGTACGCCAGAAATGGAGGAGAGGTTGGATTCGCTGGAAAGGAAGATCGATAGAAGCCGGACGGAATTAAATGCGAAATTTGAGAAATTGAAAGCTATGATGCAGGCTGGATTTGCGGAGATTAAGAACCAGGGAAAAAATCGATCCGGAAGTAGGTCGCACACCTCGGAAGCATCGTATCGCTCATCTGCTTCGCATCGCAAATCGCGAAACAGTTCGCAGAAGGAATCGCGAACTGTTTCTTCTAGTTGGCAATCGCGAATCTCTTCTCAACCATCGCAGTCGCTCACCAGATCGCAGGAGTCGCGAACTTCGCTATCGCGAACCTCTTTTCACTGTTCACAATCGCTAACAGTTTCTCTCCCTTCGCAAACTGATTCAGCGGCTACTACTTCAAGTCCACGAAAGATGCGGTTGAGAGAAGATTACCCATCTCCACCACCAATCGATCATCATTATTCATTTTCCTCGTCTGAAGTTGCTCCTCTGGGTTCGCAAGGTTCATCTGGAATAGTAGTTCTCAATTCTCAGATTTATTCCCGAACCTATTTGTCATCTCCTATGGAGGAGAAGTCCACTGAGTGCAAAGATGAAAGCGAGAAGAATAAATCAATGACCGATGGACCTGAAGCTGGTGATATTGATCGAGTTCTCCAATGGGAACCTGTCAAGAATTTTCAGAATCTCTTTAAGGGTCTCTTAACCAATGCAGTAACACAAGTGGACAAGGTCAGGGGGTTATCAAAAATTGGTATTATTTTTGTAGATGGAGATGTAGGTCGTAAGAGGCAGTCTCATAGGGTAATTGATAGTTCAGAGAACAAGATTCACTGGAAAAGATATGAGCATTTGGACAGGGATAACATGGTTCACCAACTTACTAATAGAAGAAGGATGGAGAAATACATTATGTATGCTGACAATCAGGGCCAAGAAATTAGGAGTGAAGATGTGGTATCATTCCCGGGTGCCTTAGCAAAACAAATGTGGAAGAATGATCCACATATTAATGCAATTGAAGGTTCAATCTGCACTCACACCATTGTTAAACCTAAGAAGGCAGTTAAGGACAGTTTCCTACTTTATCCAAATTGGGACTCCTCTAAGTATAGACTGAAAAAAGCTGTTGAGTTTACTGTTGAATATCAGTCGGATAATATCAGTGTGGTCCTGGATCCTAATACTCAGACTACTGTCATGGGATTGGAAGCTGAAGCAAATTTTCAACCTTACAAGATGATCTTAGGCTCCAATGATCCAGAAATGAACTGTTCCACTTGTGCTCTTGTAAGGGAAACCAAGCTAAATGAAGCTGTTGGAATTATAGAAAGGGATTCCTACTTGATGGGAAAAATAGTTATAGTTATACCTCAGTATCAAGGTGCGGGTTATCAATGTGCAGCTCTGAAATTGCTTGTCAATACCCCACTATACATCCGGCAGTACATGGCATCAGGATCCAGAGTGATTGTGGGGTTTGTAAGCTGTCAGACATCTTTGGAAAGGTTCATGGTCACGCAATCAGTTCAATATTGGGAAGGGAGAGGAACAAGGAAGAGGAAGAGGAAGCAAAAGATTTTGGCTTTCTCCTATTACCCACCTTGAGGACAAGGTGGTTGTTTAGGGCGGGAGTATTGTTAGGAACCCACTTATTCGTCTAATAATAGAAAGAATATTAATAATAGATACTGATTAGTGGGCCTGTTATAATGGGCCTATTAGTATAGAGAATAATAAGAGAGCTTATACTATAAATAGTAAGGGGAAGGAAGGGAGAAGGGAGGCTTTTGGATTGTTTAATTCGGGACTTGGGAGATCGAGAGTTACTCTCTTTCTTGGGGGGCTTCGGCTCATATTGGGGGCTTAGGCCTGTGTACCGATTACTGTTCTTCTTCATCATCAATACAGTTTTCCAGTTTGTTCCTTGATAATTCTGTATATTTCCTGGAGGTTTCTATCAAAAACTAGTAATTTATTTGTCTTCACAAGAATGAATGTACTTATTACTTATTATATGTAATAATACTTTTTTTTATTAAGTGTTATTACATGGTATAATTACTATTAACCCCCTGTGGTTATGTCATAATTATGAAGGCAACCTTGCATTTTCAAAAACCAATTAGTTACCCCCTGAGTTTGGATCATTCTCATTCTTTGCCCCTCACGTTAATATTTGTTAAATCAAATTTAATATAACTCTTATATTCAATGAAAATTGTTTATAAAATTAATTTTTAAATTAAAACAGAAATTATTATCATATTTATAATTCATTATTGTTGATCGTTATTTTTCTACTTAGCTATTCCATCGTGGAATAAATATTATTGAGAGTGGTTAAGGGAAAATACTCACAAGTATTACGTAAGATATAAAATATCATGAATTTCGATACTTCTATTTTAGAAAATTAAATATCATTCAATCTTATAAAACTAATAAACTTTTTACTGTAAAAAAATTGTGAAGATAGAATCATCACAAATTAGTAACAGAGTAAATAAAATATTTAAATAAATCAAAATCTATGTTATTTTATGCTTTAGATTGATATCTTTCAATTATTTAGCTCCTACACCGATACATTCTATATTTTAGGTTGCTTATTGATGGTTGACCTATCTTTTAGGTCATGAAATGATGAAATTCCTTTTTTCTTGGTATTTCTTCTTTGCTACACATGAAGAAGTGCCTATAACTTTGACAACACATTTTTAAATAACTTTCTTTGATGTATCCCATGAGTATTACTCGTGAATCTTCCTCTTAACTACTCACATTAATAGTTATTCCATGATCGAGTAACTAAGTAGAAAAATAACGATCAACAACGACTTATTATTATGATAGTAAATTATGTTATACTTTAAAAATTAATTTATAGACACACCTTACATTGAATTTAAGAGTTATATTTAATTTAATTTAACAAATATTAACATGAGGGGGCATATAGGGAGAATGACTAAAACTCAGGGGGTAACCAATTGAATTTTGAAAATGCAAGGTTACAATAATAATTATGACATAACCTTGGGGGCTAATAGTAATTTTCCCTTATTACATTGGTTCAAGGCGGTCTAGAACCAGACCGGTCCACCCCTACCCCAGGGTGGTGGAATATGATGCTAATCGTGGGATTATATAGCTCGGGTCCCACCATCTCACATTGAAGTTCAAGGTTTGCCAGGACTTCAATCCTACTTTATCCACCACTTGAGCTCTGCCCCATGGGCAATAACATTTATATTGAGTAACACAGCTTGGTGGAGTAGATATACTGATGGGACTTGTAATCAAGAGTAGCTTCTATTCCTTTTAGAATCTGCAATTGAAGAAGTCTACTTACGGTTCAAGAACGGGATTCGATACATTCAACTGAGATTACTTTTTGGTGAGAATGTCATACCTTACTGCTATAATACAAGCCTAAGCATCTTCTGAACACGAAATAGTTGAATTGCTAAAATATTCACCTCTAATTTCACTTTTCCAGCAATGCTGAATCTGATATCTTGGATAGACAACATCCAACATGCGTCAGCTGAATATTTTAAATGTATCCTTTCTTCAGTAAGCAGTGCAGTGAGATATGCATTACCCTCAACACACTGAGGTGGCGCCCCTTCACCTGTATTGTGCTCCTTACCAAGATATGCATTTCCTCCCAAGAATGTTGTCTTTTTTACTAGTAGCTTTCCCATTACTCAGAATTTAGTTTGTAGTCATTGAATTGTTTAATTATTTTGTTAGCCTATCTAACTGAGCATATGAGGGATCATTCAAATTTTAGAGTGTCATCAAATTATTGACACATTAGTAGTATGTCACGTTTCTCTAGCTTTTTTACTTTGATTTTCCCATCTCATGGACTTGCAATTGTCCCGCAAACACAATAAGTAGAAAAAAATGTATAAAAGAAACGGTACTTGGTGAAACTGAAATTAAGTCCATCATTTTAGCTTTTCAATTGCATTTTCAAGTTCTCCAATATGCATTATTTTTTTCGTAAAACCAATATGCATAATTGATCATCAAAATTTTAAATACATTGACAAACACTGCCAAATGTCTAATTTTTACCGGTTGACAAATAATGACATGCTAAATACAAGAGAGAAAGCTAAAGGTCTATTTTGGGTTGAAGGCTTTGAAAATGACCATTCACTTTTCATTTTTTAATCGTAATTCGTAAAAGAGCGGCTTTTAAAAAAATTCGAGAAAGCACACACAAGATAATTTCTGGGGTGAAAGGGGGTCGGGTCGGGCCCGATTCTAATTAATTAAAGCCTGGTACCAACACGGTTTGGTTCAGTACCGGTTTCAGGTTGGATCTAAACAATACTGGTCCTGGGCTGGTACTTGCTCATTTTTTTAAAATCTAGTCGTTTGGCCCGGACTGATCGAGCCCGGGCTTGGCCGGGCCCCAATTCAACCACGGTTCGGGACTGGGCCGGTATCGGTACCAAAGAATCAGGCCCGGACTGATACCAAACAGTACCGATCTCGCATCGAGCTGGTACCAAACAGTGTCGGTCCCGGGTTGGGCCGCCCGGACCTAGTGCACCCCTAGACAATTGTTACAGATTCGATTGTTATCCATAGGAATAGACATAGAGCCAGCCACCTCACACAAAGCAATCTGGCTCGCTAGACATGAAACTGACAATTTTAAGTCTAAAAACAGTGTCTATCAAAAGTATTCCAAACATCCAGATATCTAGGCCAAACCTACTCGAATAAAAACAAAAAGAAGTACTACTAAAGTAAAAATAACACTAGGAATAAAACATTTCCACAAAACTCTTCCTGACACGGAAGTGGTTCTGGAGGAGGACGAGCTGCTTCAATATGGGTGAATACTAAATTCTTCTTATTTCGTTTCGGAAGAAGTCAGACAGAAACCCATAACCAGGCAATGCTGGTCGGGACACCAAAGCAACTCCCACATCGAAGGAGACAAAACACATCGGAACGTCATAGCCCGAAATGGAACCACCATAAAGCAGAACAAACACGACAACAAAAGAAGAATAGTCAAGTTTGGGGCATACCACTACTAAGAATCTCCGAAAGCGGATGCCATGTTACCTTTCAAGAGAGATGTTAATGATGATCTTCAATTATCATTTCTATGTGACTGCCAATCGAAAAACGATGATTGCTTGTCAGGATTTATTGTTAGGGTCAACCCTCAAAACGGCTACTTTGAGAGAATAACAATTACAATCTACAGCGCTTTTCAAGTACCTTTTCATATACTCCGTATATATTGTTCTTCATTTGATTAATAAAATATATTTTGATAATGTTCTTTCATATTTATGTGCATTTACTAAGTGACAATATTTTATCATCTTATCTGACTATTAATCCTATTCTGCATGCTCAGAGTAAGCACATCAAAACAGACTATCATTTTGTTCGTGAAATGGAGCCAAAGATTCACTATTTTTGGCTTGGGAATATGATGGAATAAAACAAAATGGCTCACTAAACTGGTTGTGCTTCTTTGTTATGAAGCAACGGTCAGTCCATGCAATTCTCGACGCAATTTTCACCATGGGTCATCCGGAAACAGCCTCTCTGTGCTTTAGTACAGGGGTAAGGCAGCGTACATCTGACCCCGCCTTACCCCACCGTAGGTGGGAGCCTTTGCGGCACTGGGATAATGATGATGATGATGATGACGACGACGGCATGTGTGTTGTATCTCTCGCACAGCTTGAGGGGGTGTCATGATATAGGGATATTATTAGGGGCGGAGCCGGGATTCGGGGGGGGGGGGGTTAAGTACAAATTGTAGCATAAAATGTAATGTTAATATCAAATCTATAGTTTTATATAGTAAAACTGAGTTATAAGTATTATCATTATATTAAAACAGTTAATTAATTCATTAAATGCCGTAAACTCCCTGTTATCGAAACTCCTACGTGATCTTTTGTTTTTTGAAGAACTCCTCCGTGATGTTGGTTACTACTTTTATAGAATTTAATTAAACATATGACTCTACTATATTTTTTTCGAAAGGCGACCTCTACTATATATACTCCGTATTAAAAGCATAACTTTTTATATGTCAAACTTATCAGCTTCATCTTATCAGTTTTTTATAGTAATCTTATTAGTTTTAATTGGCTTCTTTTTAGCAGGGGCGGAGCTAGGGGGTGGCCACCCCTGACCCTGGCCCAGCCCAAATTTTAAAAATCTCTATATTTTTTGTGTAAAAAATTCCGTATGAATTTTTTTTCAAAAATATTCTTTGTACCGGCCCAGTGTCCTGGCTCCGCCCCTGCTTTTTAGTAATCTTTTTGGGAATAATTTGTTACTAAATTCCTTTTTTGATGCATTAGAAAATCAAAACTATTCAATAACATAAAAAGCTACAAACTATTGTGTGACATGAAATCACGAATCACTTTAAGAAGACATGCAGTGTAGCACTGAGATAAAAAAAATATTTACAGACACATATATAAACATATTAGAATAGAGTTTATTGCAACACTATCATAAAATTCATTATCTGAATAACTACACATGTTGCTTGCTTGGTAATTGTAAATTGTAATAAAAATTAACACTTTTTCCGCAGCTCATTTTATTTTTATAATGTATTACTTACTGCTAATTAAAATTTGAAAAGTATACTTATCAATTATCATATTATTATTATTAATATCATTATTATTTATGGAGTAATTCTGTAAAGTGAGATATCATTTCAATTTTTTAAAACACATTAACTAATAGTGGAAATTTGTATGTTGTTCTTTAAAATAAAAACAACTTATATGAAAAACACAACCAAAGTAACTTAAATGTATTATTAGTGAAATTAATGGTATATTAAAATTAAAATAAATTAATGAATCCACTTCAAAACTTGCTCTAATTTAACTAGAAAATTGTTTTCCCAACAAACAATCCGAAACATAGAGTTACATAGGCTAGGAAATTGAACTTCATTTACGTTAGGTTGTTGAAGATCAAATCGGGCTTAAAGGAATTTTTTAATAGGAAGTATAAAAGAGCGATTTATATTAATATCGAGAAAGCAAAGAACATCTAAACTTAGAAACAATAATCATCTCATACAAAATAACCTGACTTGATAGATACTAAACGGGCAATTTTAAGTCTAAAATGACCGGAACCAAAACACTCCCTATAAAAAGTACTTCATCAAAAATTCAAATATTGAAACCAAATCTAATTGAACTAAAATAAAAACAAGCACTATTAAAGAAAAAATAATATTAGAGTAAAGCTTTTCCATAAAACTCTTCGTGGCATGGGGTGATTCTACATAAGAACGAGCTACTGCGCTAAAACGAGATTGAAACCCAATTTCAAATCAAAGTGACACTACCGGGGCATGCCCCGGGTGATACACTAGTGATGTATTAAAATTGATCAAAAAATTTAAAAAACATTAATCGATAGCACGTCAATTGATATTTAGACCTTCTCTCTTGCACGTCATGGAAATTATCGATAATTAATTGAATGATAAATATAAAAAGTCTTAAAGTATTGCCACTAAAATATTGAACATGTTATGATCGATACAAACTTAAATTGTCGATTATTACTATGTACTCAAAAGGTACTTAAAAATGATTTTGACTAGTAATAGTTTTGATTAAAAAATGCATGTTGTGTAATAGAAAGCGTAAAAATAGTTTGTTTATATTATTTAACTCTAAAACGTTTTATTTAAGTATGGATCGGGCATCTATTTAAAAACGTTGATACTATCTTTTTGAATTGAAAAGTTGAGAGTATTTTGGAAAATACATTTTTTTTGCCTTGGAAAATACATCCTTTAGAGTTCAACTCCAAATTTCTCCTATCTTTTTTAAAGGATTTTTTCGCTATCTAGATTGCATAAATAAAGCCATCTGCAACTCAAGGTGAACTTAAACTTTAATCTTACTATTTGCTTAATTAGCTGATATACTCCACAAAATCAATTGGAAGCCTATACGGGTTTTATTTGATTACTTGAAGTACTTGACATTTGCTAAAAGAATTATTATGAGAAGTGGTCAAATAAAAAGACTAAGAGCAACCACAGTGCGGTCCTTTCTAGTGTAGAAATAGTGTGCCATGTCATAGTTTGAGACATTGTCTATTAAAATTGACTTCCAACGCACCTAGTCTCTCGTTCATTTATGATGAGTTGGCAAAAATTAATTGAAATAATTACATAAATATGACCAAAATAATGATGGTTTACAAAAATATGATTCATTACTAGAGTAGTAATGAAATCATAGTAATTTATGTTCAAGTTTTGAACTTTAGTTACCACAGCACTACGTTGTAGTAATGAATAGTCATTGATAGAGTATTAATTCTAGAGAGAAGTGAGAGCTAGAGAGAGAAAGTGAGTAATTGTATTTCTCAACCTCCTATAACTAGCCCCAAGGGGTCTATTTATAGGTAAAAATGTGGGTTTGGGCTCCTAGCCATGGGCTTAGGAGGCCCATTACAATAATCATGCCTTCTTTGGGCGGAATAGGGCCACTAATGGGCTGAGTACAATACTTAGCAAATAAAGTAGAGAGAAGCATTCTGCCCGTACGAAGCCGAGCCGATGCGGTGCCTTTTGGCCGATGCGGCCTCATGGCCGATGCGGTCCATGGGCCGATGCGGTCCCGGGAGTCCATGCGTGCTTCCCGGGTCGGTTTGGTTTCTGGCCGATGCGGACCCACTGGCCGAAGGGGGTCACATGGGTGTTCCTCTGGCCATCGTTGACTTGACTATGTGGGCCATGGGGTCCGGGCCCATATACTCTATCAGGAGTCCCCCACTCTCTGAGCTGAGGCGAAGCCGAAGCGAAAGGGAGTATTTGTTCCTTCCTGGCTGGCCGTTGCGAGAGTTTGAGGCGCTTGGTGGCCGAAGAGTATCTGCCTTGATTTTTTGGATGAAGCGGCTTCT